TAGCCCGATCTCATCAGATCTCAGTAGTTAAGCAGTGTCGGCCCTGCTCAGTATTTGAATGAGAAACCTCCAAGGAATACTTGGGCTGTTATGCAGAGGCAGGCAATAGCAAACTAGCGCTGAATGTCTCTTGCCTTGAAAACTCTACCAGGTCCATATATGTTGGCTGTTACTTGACAGCAAAAACAAACTTTTCTTTGGGGGAGTCCTGTTACATTCAGAGTCACCTTCCTTTAGAGTAAATATGGTAAGTGAGAAAAACCGCTGGAGCATTCCCTTTCCTTGGTGTATTTTGGTAGGTGTGTTGTATAGGCATTGTTCCAGTCTGCCCTGCCATCTCATTGGTCAGCTTCAGATAAAGAAGCATTTTTTTGCAGTGATCTTTGCAACACTGTCAGCAAATAAACAGCCAGGCAGTTTTCAGTAAAGCTGAAGCCATTGTCTAACCACATCCAGAAGTTCTCTCTCTCTCTCTCTCTTTTCTGACTGAAAACCAGTCACTGAGACTTGGATAGGCTTATCTCTGGACTATTTTTGCAAGGCGCACACCTGTTCCATCAGAAGCAGGATGACACATACATGCAAACTCAGTGGAACATTTCCGAAATTCATTAATGATTCTTTATTCATCTCAGGGCCTCCCCCCACCTCGACAAATGGTGCCTTCGGCAGTTAGGAGTCCATGTGAAATTCACAGCCATTGTTTGTTGAAAAATCACCCATTTTAGAAAAATCCCACACCATGCCCCACACCACGTGAGCACAATCCCTGCCAAAGGTATACACGGCTAGAACTTATTAATCACAAAAGGAGACAATGTGTAATCTTCAGTGAGTACCACATGTCAGGACAACCTTCCCCACTAACAAAACCAGTCAAAACTATGCACTAAATCCAGTACAGCAATTTCTAACTTCAGGCGGATTAAAGAAAATAGTTCAAGCGAGTATTCTTAGAGAGGCAACTATTACATAGGAACAGCCCCTTGGAGTCTCCCATTTCCACTGACTATAGCACGCAGCACCACACAGTGGGGCTAACAGACCCCCCCCCAACAACTGTTTTGGTTCAGGAGAGAAGGGTGAAGCCCCCCTTCCCCTGTGCCATGCTCATGAACCAGATCCAGCCCACAGCACTTAGGAATGGTAGCCTCTGGTGTTACATGATCCACAACCAATGCTCCCTCTAAGCTGCGGAGTCTTGTGAGCAAAAATTCTACTTTGTGAGCTACTGGCCTTAAAATTGTGAGCAAGCGATTTGGCTACTGCATAAATAATTTATTTATTTATTAATTAGATTTATATCCCGCCCTCCCCTGTAGGGCTCAGGGCGGCTCTGGAGCCATCTTCCTAAGCTAAGGCAAAAATGTGTGAGCCGGAGGTTAAAAAACTGTGAGCTGGCTCGCACTAACACAGCTCAGAGGGAGCACTGTCCACAACCCAGTTTGTGTCACATGTACCATCTAGCTGAGCTCATAGACTGCAAGTGTGTGTGTCTGTGTGTGTGTCTGTAAAGTGCCATTAAGTCACAGCTGACTTATGGCAACCCCATAAGGTTTTCAAGGCAAGTGATTAAGCAGAGGTGGGTTTGCCGAGTCTCTCTTGTTGGTCTCCTATCCAAGTACCAGCACCGTTTAGGTTCTGAGATCCCACAGGATCGGGCTATATACTGTACCACTCCACATCCCCCATAGACAGCATATGCCCAGAGAAACCGGGACAAAGAAGCCATTTTGTCCATCATGTGGCAAAGATGGACCACCCATACATCAGTCTAGCACAGAACAACCTGGGCAATCAAATTCCAGAACACACTGGGATGGAAGCCAGATAGCGAAGTTGTACCAAGATATGATACACAGCACCATGAAACCCATCTAAACCCGTGATCCCCAGTGTGGTGCCTGCCCCAGTGAGTTTTGTGACACCCATTTGCTTTCCCCCTCAAGGCATTTCTTCCCAAACCAGAACAAGGCCTCACTGCCCTCCACCTAACTGGAGCAGAAGGAGCTCCAGAAGAGTCCAGGAGGCACCAGTTTTGCTGCACCAACTCAGAAAGCTTTGCCTGCATTAAAAGGGGACCCCTGGCCTAGACCCTCTCAACATTTTTGATTGGCCCCAGTACCCCATGGCAGCCATTATGTGGTGTAACCACTCCCTGAGAGTCAGTTTGGTTTAGTGGTTAAGAGCAGCAGACTCTAAACTGGAGAACCGGGTTTGATTCCCCACTCCTCCACATGCAGCCAGCTGGGTGTCCTTCGGTCAGTCACAGTTCTCTCACAGCTGTTCTCTCAAGAGCAGTTCTCTCAGAGCTTTCCCAGCCCCACCTGCCTCACAGGGTGTCTGTTGTGGGGAGAGGAAGGGAACGAGATGGGTGACCTTGGATCAGTCATAGTTCTCTCAGAGCTGTTCTCTCAGAGCTGTCTCAGCCCCTTCTACGAATCCACAAGGGTTAAGCTGACACTAAATATTATAAACATACAAACATACAAAGACCAGAGTTTGTACAGGATGGAGTGACATACATTCAACTCACGCAAATATAAGCTACCAGAAGTATAATTGGTGGACTTTAATTGGCTATACCTGAGGCCTATAATATACAACAATAATATACATATAAATATATAAGGATACAACATCTGGCCTTATATTGCATATGTACTTAACATCTGATGTTAAAAAAACTTTTTTTGGATGTATGTCAAGTTTGTATTTTGGATTGTGACCACTGAGGAAGGCCCTTTGGGGCCGAAACGCATTTGGTTCAGTTGCACAGCACTAACCCATCTATGTATGTATGTCGAAAAAATTTTCATGTCTGAATGTGAATATTTTTTATGAGTAAGTTTTAAAAAATGTGTACACCTGAATAAATTTTGTATGTTTATAATATTTAGTGTCAGCTTAACCCTTGTGGATTCATAGCAGCTTTTTGGGTTGAGTTTTCTTTCTCCCCCCCCTTTTTTTGTTCGAGTCAGCCCCTTCTACCTCACAGAGAGCCTGTAGTGGAGATAGGAAGGAGATTGTAAGCCGCTCTGAGACTCCTTTGGGTATTGAAGAGTGAGGTATAAAACCAACTCTTCTTCTGTTGTCAAAATTCCAGGAGTGCCAACAGGCTCGATATTATTTGGGATTCCTGATCTAGACACAGTACATTATCTTACCCTCACAACATTCCAAGGCAAAATTCACCACACCTAAATAAGTCCTGAACAATTGATTCCATTCAGTCCAAGAATGGCCACTGATGATGGAATTATGACTTAGACAAACAGGCAGTGGGACAGAAGGCGGCATTCCCATTTAAGGAGAGTGCCTTGGAGGCAGAGAGTAAATACATTAAGAGCTCTGTCGATGAGTCAAAGGGCAGCCTGGTGAGTACCTGGTGAGAGGATTCAGCTTGGAGTCACCAGCCTGGGGCGGTGGGATAGTATCTTATCTAGGAACAAACATGTACAAACAGCCCACAGCAAATCCTTCAACAAAATGGCCAGATTTAAGAACAACTTCTTAAATTCAAACCGCTCAATAGGCGAAATAATACAACTATCCAGTGGATCGTTGGTGAATTAAACAGAGATGGGGAAACGCTTTTCTCGTACACAACCAAAGAGTCCACAACCAACAAGCAAACAAAAACAGGAACCAGTTTTACTGCTAAGCTCTGGATCAACTGCTCTCCTTTATTTTTCATGTAGCAGCACAGAAACCATGGCGTGGACATCATGACATGGGAATCAGGTTGCCTCAGCGCTCAAGGGCTGGTTGTCGGATCGGTACAGGTGGAAGCCATGGAATTTTCTCATGTGGCTGGACGGCCATGCCAGATTGCACGTATGGCACTGAGGAAATAGTTAGTCTCACAAAAGTGTTGCCCCTTCTTGGGGCTGGGCAGGGATGTGAGGAGTAGACAAGCTGCTGTTCTCTTCGGAATGGCCTCAGTATCTCTCTCTCTCCCCCCCCCCAAATCTGCACAAAAGAGTTCAGGGAAGCAGCAACCATGTCAGACCCCCCCTCCTTTGAAAAGTAACTTTGCTAGATGTCGCTCTGTTCCGTCCAACTGTATTTTTCAAAAGCATCACATAATAAGAGAGATGTAAAAGTCAACCGATGCAGGCCTTTGGTAATTTTTTTTACCTGACAACAGATCAGAAGCATGGGCTAGGAATGAAATGATGAGTTTGCTCTGGATCCGAATCTGGGACTATGAGATTCTAGTCCAACACCTTCACCTGTGCGCCACACAGGTTATTTTTTTGCAAAAGATAGAATTAAAGTAGACTCCCCCCCCCCGAAAAGAAACACAACAATTTGATACAGGAAAGAACAGCCAGAGAATAAAGCTAAAAGCAGAGAAGTGCTTTGGGGGGAAGGTGGAAAAAGAAAAACGGCCCCCTGACCTAAAAGCAAGAAAAAGGTCTTGCCGGGAAAAAATGCCTGAAAATATCTCTGCGGGAGGGAAGGCAGCACGGTATTACCTGACCTCCTTAGGTCTGGGAAGCTAAGCAGGGGCGGCACTTGGAAGGGAGACCCCCCCAAAGGAAGACCCTGCAGGGGAAGGCCAGGGCAAGCCACCACCTCTGCTTCCCACGGCCCCCTCCTGGGTTGCCATAAGTCAGCGGCGACTTGACGGCACTTTTTAGAAGTATCTCGGCAAGGACGGGGGGGAGGCAGCGGAGTCAACCCGAGCGAGACCTCTTAAGTCCCGCTGAGGTTGCGGCACTCTAACGCGATGCGCTCCGAGGACCCGCTGAAGAGAAGGGCTCCCCCCCCCCCACCGGACTGAAAAGCGCTTCCCTCCGCGGCGCGCCTGTCCACAAGCCTCCTGCTGGGCAGGTGAGGCGGACCTCGAGCCGGACTACCTTTCCTGCTACCTGTTCTGAAGGGCGGGGGGGGAAAAAAAGAAACCCAAAGTGGACCCCGAGGAGGGGGGGGGGAAGAGGCCGGCCAGCTGTCCGGCGAAGGGGCGCCCTCCCCTCCGCCACTCGCACACTCACCGTTGGCCAGGGCGCCCCTGCTTTTCCGGGCCAGGGTCTGCTGGACCTGCCGCTGGATGCGGAGCGACTTCTGCGCCTCGGCCCGCCCGCCCGACAGCGTGGAGGGCAACGCCAGGCTGGAGCTGTCCAGCTCGGCCAGGTTCTGCTGGCCCAGGACGGTGCGGATGTAGCCGCCTTCCGAGGCGCCCAGCGTGCCTGCTGCTGCCGCCGCCATCGGGCCAAGCGGAGCCGTCGGGCCGAGCGAACGACCGAGCGAGCGAAGCGAAGCGGCCGCCTGGTGCGCGCCGTCTGCCCAGCCTGGACGCGCCGCCGCGCCGTCGACAGGGGGAGGCAACAGCAGCGCCGCCAAGCCTCGCCCTCTGGCCGACCTCGGGAGGCTCCTCCGGGCGCCGCGGCCACGCCCTCGCCCTGCCCGCGGCCAAAAGGCGTAGCGGCTCCGCCCTCGCTTCTTACCTGCTGCGTCCCCCGACCGACGGCGGCTCGGAAGCGGAAGCAAGCGGCTTTTAGGTGGTCGTTTCAGCCCTGCTTGGGGAGAGGCAGGCAGGCTTGCCCCTCGGTGGGGGGCGTAGGCTTCTAGATGGGGGGGTGGGGACGGGACACCGGGCTGAACCTGGTGCCAGGCGAGTTACATTCAGTGTTCCCTCTAAGCTGAGTTGGTGTGAGCTAGATCACAGATTTTTAGCCTCCGGCTCACACATTTTTGTCTCAGCTCAGGAAGGAGGGCTCCAGAGCAAACTAATTGGTGTAGTGAGTACTCAAACCGCTCACTCACAACTTTAATGCCTGTAGAATTTTTGCTCACAAGACGTCACAGCTTAGAGGGGAGCACTGGTTACCTTGTTTCAATATGAAATTATTTATATTTCCAAAACCCATATGCCACTAACAATCATACGGTTTTAAAATACACCCCCCCCAAATATTAATAATTTCAAAGCAAGAGGACTCCCTAAGAGGAGGGGAAATAAATGTCATGAACTCCTTTACTGAGATAGATCCCGATGGGTAGCCATGTTAGTCTGTCTGTAGCCATCCATGTGGAGCTGCGGTGGCTCAAGTGGTTAAGACGCTGAACTGCGGGCTATGGAAGGTCGGTAGTTCAGCAGTTCGAGACCCGAGTGTGCCGCATGACGGAGTGAGCTCCCGTCTCTAGTTCCAGCTCCTGCCAACCTAGCAGTTCGAAAGCAAGAAATTGCAAGTAGATAAATAGGTAGCACTTCGGTGGGAAGGTAACAGCGTTCCGTGCGCCTTGGTGTTTAGTCATGCCGGCCACATGACCACGGAAACGTCTTCGGACTGCACTGGTTCTTCGGCTTTGAAACGGAGATGAGCACCGCAACCCTAGAGTCGGACTCGACTGGCTTTCGAGCAAGGGAACCTTTACCTTTACCTAGCCATCCATAGCACCTTAAAGACTAACAAACTTTGTGGCAGGGGATGTCACTGAAGACATGAGCAGTGACTCACTGAGAGCTCATCCCCTAGCAGAGGTAGGCTACCACACATTTTGTTAGGCTTTAAGGTGCTACCGGACTCTTACTCTTTCCTTTACTGAGACTATTTGAGTAAATATTCCATTTCTGTATGAAAGAAAATACCCCTCCCCATGCTCCCTCTAAGCTGTGGAGTCTTGTGAGCAAAAATCCTACTTTGTGAGCTACTGGCATTAAAGTTGTGAGCGAGCAATTTGGCTCCTGCATAAATTAGTTTGCTCTGGAGCCATCCTTCCTGAGCTGAGACAAAAATGTGTGAGCCGGAGGCTAAAAAAACTGTGAGCTAGCTCACACTAACTCAGCTCAGAGGGAACATTGCTCCCCCCCCCTTTCCCTCACAATTTAGGCTGAGTGTATGACTGGCTCAAGGCCACATCGTGTGCTTCCAGGCTAAGTGGGGATTTGAACTCCGGTCTCCCCAATCTTAGATCCACACTCTAACAACTACACCATTCCCGTATTGGATACTCAGTACACTACCTGGTGGTGAGGGGCACTGCCTTGCTGGGAAATCCCAGAGAGCCTGATGCCCCTCCAGGAAATCTGGAGGGGGGGG